CAGAGGGCCAGTGAGAGCAACAGAGGGCCAGTGAGAGCAACAGAGGGCCAGTGAGAGCAACAGAGGGCCAGTGAGAGCAACAGAGGGCCAGTGAGAGCAACACAGGGCCAGTGAGACCAACAGAGGGCCAGTGAGACCAACAGAGGGCCAGTGAGAGCAACAGAGGACCAGTGAGAGCAACAGAGGGCCAGTGAGACCAACAGAGGGCCAGTGAGAGCAACAGAGGGCCAGTGAGACCAACAGAGGGCCAGTGAGACCAACAGAAGGCCAGTGAGAGCAACAGAGGGCCAGTGAGAACAACAGAAGGCCAGTGAGAGCAACAGAGGGCCAGTGAGAGCAACAGAGGGCCAGTGAGAGCAACAGAGGGCCAGTGAGAGCAACAGAGGGCCAGTGAGAGCAACAGAGGGCCAGTGAAACCAACAGAGGGCCAGTGAGAGCAACAGAGGGCCAGTGAGAGCAACAGAGGGCCAGTGAGAGCAACAGAGGGCCAGTGAGAGCAACAGAGGACCAGTGAGAGCAACAGAGGGCCAGTGAGACCAACAGAGGGCCAGTGAGAGCAACAGAGGGCCAGTGAGACCAACAGAGGGCCAGTGAGACCAACAGAGGACCAGTGAGACCAACAGAGGGCCAGTGAGACCAACAGAGGGCCAGTGAGACCAACAGAGGGCCAGTGAGAGCAACAGAGGGCCAGTGAGAGCAACAGAGGGCCAGTGAGAAGCAAGAGAGGACCAGTGAGAGCAACAGAGGGCCAGTGAGAGCAACAGAGGGATACAGGCACTGGACATTTATGGTTCAGCATATAAAGTCCATATGACATGGATTGAGTGCATCATAGTCAACTCTGGGTAAACACACACCGAATGATTGTGTAACATAGAGCCCGGCTTTTCCGTGACACACCAAATTGTTTGAGGTGCACGTGTGTGTTTTGGTGTGTGCGCGCTGGCATGTTTGTGTTTGCTTGAAGTGCATGTTATGGATTACAAGAAAGCTGAAACAGGAAGAATAAATAAGCAGTATCGATGTTGCTAATAGTATCGCGGAAACACAAACACACATAAAACAGACAGCGAAAAAAAGGGGGGGGGGGGAGGAGGGTCTGGAGAAAAATGACTAGAGCCTTAAAATTCACCACCCTTATAATCCCCAGCCCGCCCCCCCCCCTCCCTCTTTTCATTTCCCTCATCCTAACCAAAATGAACAGCATTTTTTTTTTTAACCACGTCAAATCTTTCAACGCTTAGCACATTCTTCAATGTGGCCGGACAGCTGTGTTAGAGCAGCAACTAGACGCTTGCCTGGTCGTCCCTAAATCGGGTCTGCAAGAATCCAAGACAGGCGTCTATGAACAACTTCCCGTCCGTCTGATAGTTCCTTAGCATGGTCTCGCAGACATGTTCGGTCTGACATACCTTTTAAGAAAGAAGTCAACACGTATTTCCAAGCAACAGAGATAACTGAGCTTGGCGTGCCTTGCAGATGTTGGTTTGATTGTAGATGGAGGATCCACTACAGAAACTATAAAACAGTAGAAATACAGCTTCAGATGATACACTCATTTCTTTTGAAGGCTATCGTTAACTTCTATCTGGGCGTGAGAGGAGCCATGAATTGATATAGAATAAAGAAAGTGGCTGTTATAGACAGTTGACTTCATTTGAAGTTTTGAAGCTGGTAGACATATAATGAACTAGTGAGTGGTTAGAAGTGTGGTGCTTTGATTGTCCCTCGAACAGGTAGGTCAGCTCTGTTGAACAGACTAAAAATATAATCATTAACTATCAGGAATGTCGACACAATGAAAATACCAAGGAAAAAAAAAAAAAAAAAAAAAACAAGGAAAAGGGTGGGGGAAAAGAAAAAAAAAAAAAAGGGGGGGGGGGGGGTGGTTAAGTGTCTTACTGTGATTAAAGCCTTGTTTAAGTGCGTTGTCGGCGTCTTTGATTTATGCGTTGCAAACGCGGTTTGTAATTCCGATGTAGCTGTCTCGATCCTATCTGTGGCAGCAAACCGATTTGTTGTTGTTTTCGACAGTGATATTTAAAGCCTCTTGTTGAGTAGCAGAGGGAAACTACTAAATATAAAATTGCCGAGAAAAATCACAAACTTACAATAAATGCTATGGTTGGTTTTGCATCATCACTTAAAGGATTCAAAACTAGCTTTGTATTTCAAAGCAAGTTATTGTTACTGTTGCTGTTATTTTTATTATTATTAACGAAACGTCCATCAATTTTTCTGTACATGGCTTACAAGATTCAACTTCTAATGGAGCAATGATGCGCAATACAAGACTCTTAATGTCTATTAGCCTCTCTTGCTCAAGCCTACCTCACCTTCACGTGGTGGACCCTGTTCTTCCCAGCAATCCAGTTGAAGGTTGGGGTCTCAACCCCCAGCGGGAAACTGGATGGGACAACAAACGAGGTAAAGGCGAAAGACGAATGGATGAGCCTTCTCTCCTCGAGTATGATCACAGTCTACCCTAGTAAAACAAGGTGCTGAAGTCGGAGGCAACCAGCCAAGAGGCGCACCACAGCAATCAGGATGCCACGCATACACGCCATGGAAATATGTCTATATCAGTCTTTTCTTCTGTTACTTTTATTCATTTACTCTACTCTGGCTACTTTTATTCATTTACTTTTCTGGCTGCTAAATATGGGATCCTAACTCTTATGGAAATATACCAAGTACTGGACTGTCGTTTCTGAACTCAACCACGACCGGCTAAACAACTCAGCTCAACTACGATTTGTTAATGTATATCTTTCATGCTATTACTGCATTGTGCAGGACATCAGGAGTCTCTTGGCAGTGGGAAACATGCTGAGACATGATTCGATTGCAAAGACTGCATACTTCAATGAACATTGGGGGAGGGGGGTAGTCGAAGAAGAGGAGGGCAAAGAAGAACCTGGAATGGCAACACCAAAAATTGGGCAGGACTAAGCGGAAGACAGCGAAAGATGGCGTTTTTTATGTGCTAGTGCTTCTATCGATACATCTCATGACCCTTCGGGTCAAGGGTTATGTTATGTTACTGTATTATCTGACGTTCTTGACACCCTAAAACTACTCTAAATTATACACTGACAATCTAAAACTATTATTATAAAATACATACACATTGGGAAAGAAAAGAAACAACAACTGTCTGTGACTAAAATCAACAAAAGAGTTAAGTGTGATACATTTGTTTCGTTTTGGAACATGGAAAGAGAAGCACACAGATAAAGCAGTGCGTCGCAACTCTCACAAAGCTTCTAAAAGCCTTCTTGTTTTCTAATTCTTTAACGTGGAAGTACGTGAATATTACATAACCTTGAAAATGAGAAAACACCCAAACAAATCAAGGGAACCACCGAAAAGTGACGTCTAAAGTATTGGCAACAACAAGCCCACTATTCACTTCAAGTACAGATTCAACTGCTGAATACTTCCCTTGTTCATTCATGGGCTGAAAACCAGCTCACATTGCTTTAGCCTACGTGCCGCCACTGCCGTCAGTTTTTAAGGGTACGCATGTGGGAGCTGTGAAATAACATAAGATAAGACCTGGGTGTACAGTTTCACCAGAGAAGCTAGACTGGATACTATTAAGAATGTCCCCGTGTGTATAGTCATCGGGATCTGAACCACACCCTCCCTATTTAGAATATTTTTAGGGCGTTAAAGAAATGTCATGAAAATCAAAGACGACCTCTGTGATAACATATCATCCACGGTGTGTTAACTAGTCGATCAGGACACAGGTCTATCAGTATGTGCCAGTTGCATCAACTGCGTCTTGTGTTGTTCTTTTTTTAGCTGGTATGGCCCTGATTGCAGTTGAAATGCAGAGCTCTGTTTTAACTACTCATTAAAAAGCGCACACAGACTCTTTACTCTTTTTTCTAAAAAGACAAGAAGAGGTATGAGACCCTGACAAAAAGAAGAAGAAGAAGAAGAAGAAGAAGAAGAAGAAGAAGAAGAAGAAGAAGAAGAAGAAGAAGAAGAAAAGAAGAAGAAGAAGAAGAAGAAGGTGGAGGTCGGAGAAAAAGAAAAAGAAGAAGAAGAAGATGAAGAAGAAGAAGAAGAAGAAGAAAAAGAAGAAGAAGAAGAAGAAGAAGAAGAAGAAGAAGAAGAAGAAGAAGAAGAAGAAGAAGAAGAAAAAGAAGAAGAAGAAGAAGAAGAAGAAGGTGGAGGTCGGAGAAAAGAAAGAGGAGAGAAGCAGCAGCAGCAGCAGCAGTAGTAGTAGTTGTAGTAATAGTAGTAGTAGTCGTCGTCGTCGTCGTCGTCGTCGTAGTAGTAGTAGTAGTAGTAGCAGTAGTAGTAGTAGTAGTAGTAGTAGTAGTAGTAGTAGTAGTAGTAGTAGTAGTAGTAGTAGTAGTAGTAGTAGTAGTAGTAACTAGTAGTAGTAGTAGTAGTAGTAGTAGTAGTAGTAGTAGTAGTAGTAGTAGTAGTAGTAGTAGTAGTAGTAGTAGTAGTAGTAGTAGTAGTAGTAGTAGTATTAGTAGTAGTAGTAATAGTAGTAGTCGAAAAAGAAGAAGAAGAAGAAGAAGAAGAAGAAGAAGAAGAAGAAGAAGAAAGAAGAAGAAGAAGAAGAAGAAGAAGAAGAAAAAGAGGAAGAAGAAGAAGAAGAAGAAAAAGAAGAAAAAGAAGAAGAAGAAGAAGAAGAAAAAGAAGAAAAAGAAGAAGAAGAAGATGGAGGTCGGAGAGAACGGACGAACGACGAACGAACGAACAAACCTTATTTTCAAAGGGTTAAGAATTGGGCACGCAGGCCCGTCCAACATTCTGCCCTTCCACTCCGCTCCTTTCATACCATTTTTTTATTTGTAAGAGGAGGGGGGGAGAAGGAGGATAAAAACAAGGAGAAGAATGAGAAGCAGAGCAGAAGAAAAAACAACGGTATCATGAGCAGAAGATCGTTACACAGCTATTTTGATCAGTACTGCATTTCACTGCACAGGTATTGTCGTTAGTGTAAAGAATGAATGCCCTTTTCTCTGTTTCAGAGTGGACTCGGAATATGCAAAACTACGACTCAGCGACCTCACAATGATAGCCACTTTAGGAGTAGGAGGTTTCGGTAGAGTAGAACTTGTAAGTAAATCAAAGATTCATTTGAAAATCATTATTATCTTTTAACTTTTTTTTTTTTTTTTTTTGGGGCATTACCCTATCATCACAGTTATTAGGACCATCAGAGTTATTAACACCTTCATTAAGCAACCCGAAGACAAAGAAATAAATACCTTTGGTTACATAGGTTACACATTATGAGTATGATAATTCTTTGAAAAGTATACTTAAAGTATATTCAACTTAACTATGTATACTCCTAAAATCTGTAAAAATTATTACATAGGGCTGTGCAATATTAAACAACCAAAAGTAATTGATGAGCATAAACATCAATTGTTGGAATAGACACTGACTATTTACAATGTTATAGTAAATATTATTTTTCACGCCTTTAGGCGCATCTGGCATATGGGAAGAGCACCCATAACTGTACAGACCAATCGGCCCTAGGTGGGTAATGTGATCAGCATTACGCCGGTCGTCCTTACTTCCCCAGGACATATATCTTGGTCCCCATTTGAGGCTGGGTCAACCTGCGACGCTCCACTGTACAATGTTGATCCCAATTATTACCCAGATGAGCTGAACCGGATATTGTTAGTTAGATCGTTACTTCCTTTACCTGGATGGCCTGGCCACACGGATGACGGGGGGGGGGGGGGGGGGGGAGGAGATAAGGGGAGGGGGAGATCACTAATCTAATTTATTCCATTCTGACAGAAGTAATGAGATGTCGAACATTGGGCCGCCTAAACTCATCCACAAGGCACATGATGATGATGACAATGATACCCTTCTCTGGTTCTTTAATAGAAGAGCTCTCGGAGTAACAATGTGCTGTGCACATTTAACATGCCTTATGTATTTAGAAACCTTAAGGAACAATTATATTAATACTGAGGCTAAATTTCCAAGAAACCAAACCGTAATTTAGTCAAATGTCCATTTTCACGCCAGTGGCATCGCGGGCATGACCTGGAGACTTATTTTGGGGATTTAATGGGCCAAAAAAGGGTGGGGGGGGGGGGCGTCATGCATGTAGGCAAGCAAGCAGACAGACTGACAGAGTCAGAGAGAGAGAGACAGAGCGATAAATAGAGTGATAGAAAGGGACAAAGAGGCACAAACAGGGAGACAGACACGCAGAGAGAGAGAGAGAGAGAGAGAGAGAGAGAGAGAGCGAGAGAGAGAGAGAGAGAGAAAGAGAGAGAGAAAAAATAAAATAAAACGCGGTTAATTGACAGTGACCCAACTCTTCCAGAAATTCTAATGAATGTAGCGCTATTTTAGTAACATATTAATCAATTTTATTTACTGACGCCCAGCGCTAGTCAACTTGAGGTTGTTCAGCCGCCTCACAGCCACCACAGTTGGTGTTTTGGTCTTAAGTTCCTGGCTTATTTCTGTCTATTTGTTACCGTGCCAGCGTATGTTCTTACCAATGTTGTCTCACCTGTGCTGGGATTCTGTGCAAACCGCTCACTCTTGGCTGAATTAACGTCTATGGAGGGGCGGAATTAAAGAGACAAGACGTCCGTATCAGAAATTTTTCAAGTAGAGAGATACACCCCTGAGGGGAATTCAATTAACGGCGTAAATAGAATGGTAACAGTTTAATGTTGATAACAGCAGGTTGAAGATATTACAGAAGTTAAATGTAGAATGGACCTAGCAAACGTCACGTTTTAATAGATGAGAAAGGCTCGTGGCGTACTCAAAGTATGTGAAATCCATCAAATTTGTGTTGTTGTTGTTGTTGTTGTTGTTGTTGTTGTTGTTGTTGTTGTTGTTGTTGTTGTTGTTGTTGTTGTTGTTGTTGTTGTTGTTGTTCTTCTTCTTCTTCTTCTTCTTCTTCTTCTTCTTCTTCTTCTTCTTCTTCTTCTTCTTCTTTTTCTTCTTTTTTTTTTCTTTCGTTCGCTTGAAATAGATTATCTTTTTCTGCAAAGTTGTCTCTAGTAAGAATGTCACTGTCTTTTGTAATTCACTCAGTGACCCGCAAAGTTTAATTTGCCCCTCTGTTTCTTTTGGCCAACAGTTTTGCCTTGATATGTTGTATTTGGGACAGTTTTGAAGGACATGATCTGTTGTGTCAGGTGCCAATCCCCATGTGCACATGGCTGATTCGCCAATTACAAATTGTGTATACATGTGGCTGCGAAGTCGATTGTGTCCGGTTCTAAGGCGTAGAATAATAATTTGTTCTGGTCTGTCCATAAAATGGACAATTAGAAGGCATCATCAATTGCCTTGCCGACTAGCTTGGGCGATCATGCCTCTACACAATCTGCGATCCGCAACAGCGTGTATCACTTGGTGTGCTTGCCACCTCTATGCCACGACGAAAGACTATCAAAAATACAACGCTGTCTTTCTTTATCTCTCTTTCCACAGATCTTTCGTGGTCATAATATGTTCCATTTTCCCTTTTCACATAACATGAACCACAAATGATGACTCCTATCACTCTTTATGATATTTGTTATAAATTGTCTTCGAGCATTCGTCTCTTTCAAAACATCTGGGTTACTCTTCTTAGCTGTCTAAGGAATTCTAAGGATTCTTTTGTAAAACCACATCTCCGAGGCCTCAAGATATTGTTCGGCTTGTATATTAATTGTCCATGATTCACAGCGGTATAAAACTGGCTCTATATACAGCAGGCAAGATTTCTTTTCCTAACCTCCAGCGACATGGATTAATTGCACACAATGTTCCTGATTTTGTAACATGTAGTTTTGGCCTGTCCTATTATGTTCGTTATCTTTGTGGTACCTCTTCTATCGGATGTTATCCATGTGCCTAGATGTTTACATTTATGTACTTTTACTAAAATAACGTCTTTGACTTTTGTGTAGACTTTCTTACTTTAAAAAAAAAAATTCACAATTGAAAGAAACAGTGAACATCCCAGTAAACGGAGATACATTAACAGGAAACAAGTTTCTCCTATCCTGGATACGTAATATCAGATAAAGGTAGAAGTGAAACGAATCAAAAAGAAAATGGGAATGGTTAAAATTATCTTTAAAAAGGTGCGAAATTAATGACAACTACAATTGTTGTGTACACTCAGTCATGCTGTGTGGTATAGAAACGTGGATAATAAGAAGGCAACTAGAAAATCGAACTCAGTCTCCGACAATTTGGTTATACTGATGAATATGTCGGATTTCACCGGGAAAGGGGGGGGGGGGCGGCGGGTGTCAAATACGCAGGTTGTGAGGAGACTGTGAATTAAAAGAGAGTTAATAGAGAGGGAGGGGCGGTATGGGGAGCATTAAAATAATTTGACCACATTAAAAGAAAAACTCTTTTAAAATACCACATTATAGCTGAAGGGAAAGATAGAGGACAATAGAGCAACATGTAGACTACGATGTAATTCGAAAGCCAACATCAAAAGATGGACGAACAACAAAATGAAAGAGTGTACAACCTAGGCAAGAGACGGAACATGTTAGAGATCCTTTGCAGCTAACCTTTATGTGCAGATGACACCTGACTGACTGATTGAGGTTTGAGTTTCAAAGTACGGACCACATCACGGCACACGGGTAGTAACCCATAAGTGCTCCGTTCTTCTTCTAACTCAAGTCTAAGTCCGAAGAAGCGCAGCACAGTGCACAGGCTCTTAAGCACCGGCGAGGATCGGGCAATGCTTTTGCTAGATTTTTCACTCCAAATTTTGCCCGGGCAGCGCCGTTAGACTACTCTTTCCGATTTCCCACTGCCAAGGGATTTTGTACGTGCGCAACATTGCACACGGGCGTCCGATCTTACTACACAGAGACCAGGGGGAATTACTAGAAGTCCAAGATTGATTGATGCCAGTAATCTATTCTTCAATGTTTTTTTTTTTTTTTGGGGGGGGGGGGGGGGGGGGGGGGGGGAGTCATTTTCATTGCACTAATTATGAGGGTGCGAATGTGAATGGAAAACAAACTGAAATATTAGAGGTAACAGAGGTTATTAGGAAACTCAACAACCTTTTTTTTCCCTTCTCACATGCTTTCTTCCACCAATTTTCTCCGGGTTTGTGTTCTCAAAGCCACATATACCTGTCATCATTTCTTTGATATTTTCAACATTGAAAAATTCCATCCTGACAGAAGTAATGAAGATGCATTGTAGAACGCTATTAAGTTACAGACACGCCCTAGTTTTGGGTAAATTCGAGTTTGGCTTGCTGTTATAGTTTGTCGAGATGGGTGGAATCGACCAGTCAATTATCTTCTTTAAATGCTCTCTATATACTAGACATAGCATCACCATGGACCATCGAGTGTGTGTGTGTGTGTGTATTTGTTATTTTATCTATGGTATGCTTAGTTAATATAAATTTATGTAACCTACGGCTTGAAATCGTGATGGGTACGGGCGTTTATCTTATAGCATATGATATCACAACCTCTACTTTGAGAATAGAGGTGAAGGCAGTCTCTGCTGCCTTCCGCTGGCTTGAGAATCAGCTGAACACACGTGCCGTGATTGCAACTGACTCACAGGGTATGTTGGGAAAGGTGGAGACAGGCATGCTTCGTGCAGAGTTGCAAGCAACACTTCAGAGGTCCCGGGTAGTTAGCATCCTTTGGATACTTTCTCCAGGTCATGGCGGTTTGTTGGAAAATGAGCAGGCAGACTGGCTGGCTCTGCACCACTTGGTGGTGAATTGATGTATGGCAAGTTAGATATTGTGGTGGCCGTTTGAAAGCTAGTGAACAGTGCGGAGGCACAGAGAGATATACGGTCTAAGGAGAATGGCACTGCGAGTAGTTACCACCAGATTTGGCCGATGCTCAACACACAGCTGGAGTATGAGACGAATATACAATCAGACGGTTACTGGTACCATCGGAATTGAAACTTTTCACTTGCAGCTGGAGATGGGGAGTGAGCACTTATGAGAGTATCCCGAGTGCTGTGATGTCGATTTTTAATTCAATATTCAACATTCTTTTAGAACGATAAGCCTCTACCTTTGATATTAGACACAAAATCCTGCTTACCGGGGTGTAATA